GGCTTGAAACAGACCATCAGCAGTCAGCCACATCGTAATGTTCACTTTGGCATATCAGAGGGGGCCTCCATCTATTTACCAGGAGAAGGCTTACCTTCTCTACTGGCTTCTATGCCCTGGGTAACATCATGTTTATTGCATGTGAGAGGAGCACTGAACTTGCCCCAACTGTGAGGTGCTACCATGCCTATGAAATAGCGACAACTTATATTAATCTATCATTTTTAAGGTTTGCTAAATTATTTTACAGCACCTCTCTGAGTTAGATAATGCAAGAATTACTAGCCCTGTTTTAAAGGTGAGGAAGGTGAGTCTTAGAGAAGTTGTTACTTGCTCATGATCAAGCAACTAGTTATAATCAGTGTCTGGATTTGAATCCAGTGCTCCTGATCCTGAGTCCGGTGCTCTTTCCCCTATACCATGCAATCTTCCTTTCTCCTTCATCCTCAAAGCTATTTTTGCTATCTGTTTATTTAACAGGTATAACATTATGTATGGTGAGTTTCCATGACATTTACTTCTTTCTCTGCAGAAGTCCGACTTCTAATTCTGGGCCTCTGTAAGTTTGTGATGGAGAAGGAAATGGCAAACCTCTCCAGTATCTTTTCCAAGAAAACCCCAAAAGGGGTCATGAAGTGTCAGACATGACTGAAATGACTGAACAACATAAGTCTGGGAGGTGGGCAGTGGAAGCGGGGTGCCTCTCATCTCTACCACAAAGTCTTTTTGGATTTGTTGGAAGAGGATTGCCATAATACCATTACTTAGTGGTCTTCTGGTAAATGTTTAACAACCATCTCACTGAAAAAAAATGTAGGATACACTTTTAAGTTTAGTCTGCACTAATATTTCTCCATCACTTTCTTTTTTTTTCCTCTTTTTATTTTTTTTTCCACTTCATAGTATTTTCCAATTACATGTAAAGATAGTTTTCAACTTTCACTTTTATAAGATTTTGAGTTCCAAATTTTTTTCTCCCTCCCTCCTTCCCCTCCCCCCTCACCCAGACTCTGAATCACTTTCTTAAGCTTAGACAATCAACAAAATAATAAATCCAACCCTGATTTGCAGCATTTGCTGATTTCCATGACAGAAATGCTCACACTGAAAATTTAACAATTGGCTCTCTTGAGCCATTTTGAGCTGGTCCCAGCACAACTCTGCCTTTATTCCTACAGCTGTTACCCATTCTCTACCTAATCACGAACTCTGTCTGAGAGCCTATGCTCTGTGGCTTTTTATATCATAGGAAAGTTTTGTTTACATTCTTCACTGCTTTCCATGCCTAGAACACTTTTGCTGATCAGTTCTGACTCTTGGTATAGTTAGCTCCCTTCAGGGTTTAGCCCATGTGCCACCACCTACCAGAATCCTTCCCCATCCCTCAGTTGTTGGTGCTACCACCCTTCCCCCTTCCTCAAATACTCTCTCTCTCTCTTTTTTTTTTTTTGGCAATTGGGGTTAAGTGACTTACCCAGGGTCACACAACTAGTAAGTGTCAAATGTTTGGTCTGAGGGCGGATTTGAACTCAGGTCCTCCTGACTTCAGGGCCACTGCACCACCTAGCAGCTCCAGATATTCTGTCTTTACTTATCTATATACAGACCTCCCCTAGTAGAATGTTATAAATAATAATAATAGTAATACTAAAAGCTAGCATTTTTAGGACTCTTCAACATTTTACATGTTACATCATCTAGTTCTAACAACATAAGCTTGTTGGAGACAGGAACTTTTCCATTTTTTTCCCTTTGTATCACCAGCACTTGACACAAGGCAGACACCTAGTAAATGCTCTTTGAATTGAATTACTCTCTAAATGCCTTGGCCATGTTTGTCCACCTCTCTGTGGCTTGTCTGAGATTGCATTTGAGTAATACTCTTTGGCCCAAGGTTGGTCTTGTTACTGGTGTCTCTGAGAATACTAGCGGCTGTGAAGGTCTATTGTTTCTGGTGAGTGTGAGAAAGGAAGATGAATAATGTTCCCTTAGATGGTATGAGCATGTGGTGAGCCCTGTTTTTTCCTCATTGAATTGGGTTCCTTCATGCCAATGTGAGAAAAGTACATGTGGTTTATGTTCCCTGTGGGGGTAGGGTGGATTTCAGCATCCCAGCCAAATTCACCCCTGGAAGTAAAACATCTCTCACTTTCTACCCCACTTCCACCAGAACACTGCCCCTACCACAAAGGCTGGAGCATCTCAGACGCCAGATTGACTCCATTAAGCAATTTCTCCCAGAGGTATGGCAATGACGAATCCTCTCTGCTTGGAAGGTTGCAGCTTCCACAATGAATCAAACCCCGAAAAGGGAAGAGGCAGCAGTGATTAATAGTGGGGCTTGAAATCCAAACCATAATCAGACAGTGATTTGTCATCAGACCTGGAGACGGCAATGGCGCTATAATAGATGATTCAGGCATGGGGCGGCTGTCTCTAAACATGTTAATTACCCTGGAAGAAGTGGCTAATGCTTGAAACCAATGATTAAAAAAGTGGATGTATGTGCATAGGAGGAGAATTCTTTCCCTGAGGTGGCAAGCTATCAAGAAACCAGAGCCAGAGCCCACACCATCCAGGCTTTTACCAAGAAAGCTACCTACCATGACTTGTCTAAACTTGGCCAGGGCATTAAGGGTAGCTTCTTTGCAGAGTACAAATTATTTTATAAGATAATAGAATTTTTGGAATTGAAAGAGACATTGTAGAATATCAAATCCAACTCTTTCATTTTATAGATAAGAAAATTGATATTAAGAATTGTGAAGCACCTTATGGAATATAAGGTTCTTGAAAGTAGGAATTATTTTATTTTATTTCTTTCTGTTTTTGTACTCCTAGTGTCTAGGCTGGTGCCTGGCATAGAGTAGGCACTTAATAAATGTTTGTTGATTGATTGATCAACCATGATCATGTAGCTGGTAATAATAATAGCTAGCATTTATATAAAGTTTTTATTTTATGTATTTATTATATTTTCATTGCTATAAAGTTTAAATATAAAAATATTTAAAGTTTGTAAAGTCCTTTACTTATGTTATCTCAAATTTGATTTTTACAACAATCCTGTGAGCTAGATACTCTTTGATCCCCATTTTATGGATAAAGAAAGTGAGTCTGGGAGAAATTAAATGACTATTCAAAGATCATACAGCTAGAAAGTATCTGAGGCAGGATTCACACTCAGGGCTTCCTGACTCCATATTGAAGGCTTTAGCCGCAGGATTTGAACCCAGTTCTGCTAACTACAAATCCATTGTTCTTTCTTCTGTACCTTGCTGGGACAGTTCAAAAATAGTATGAGGGTACAGGGGTAAATCTTCTTCCAGGATGAATTTACTGAGCAAATTGGAATCCTGCATTACCAAGCAATGTACTGATCATCCCAACTCATCCACCAAGCTTGACAATGGAAATGGTGGGCCCTTGATTAATTCTTGGTTACTCTTTTGAGTGTGGAGGACAGTGTCATTTAAATAAAAAGTATAATGTCTGTATCTGCTTATATGTGTAGGTCTAACATGCCTTGGATACCTTCCTTGGTAGACGTGTATGTGTGTGTGTGTGTGTGTGTGTGTGTGTGTGTGTGTGTGTGTGTGTTAGCTTAGTCAGGTAGAGTCAGTGTCTCAACCTTGCTGGTCACTGCACCTATGCTGTTAGTTGTTTTCTAGTGGTAGGGGTAGGTTTACTCTGAGACATCCATTCACTCTTGACACAGAACACATACTTGCAGTCTGGCTGTCTGGGGTTAAGGATGTACTCTATGGCCAGGGAGATAAGATTTTTCTCTCTGAGAAGCAAAATACCCCCAAAATGGTTCACAGTGGGAATAGAACCTTGCACTTATGGCATCAGTTGACATTCATATTGTGAGGGATTGTCTGATGTTGGCTACTGCCACGTGGAGATTGTGACAAGATGGGGTAGGAACAAGATATTAGGAGGTAACCGGAGCTCATGCTCCCGAGGCAGGGAGCTGTGCCATGTGGAGTTGTGGTGAACTGGGATAGGAACTGGATACGGGGAAGTAACCGGAGCATGTGCTCCTGAGGCAGGGGGCTGTGCCACGTGGGAGTGGGACAGCAGAGAACGAGCTTCCTTTGTCATGTCCTCTCCCTAGGTGCAGCGCTAACCCCAGATGTCTCCTTCCTGTATCCGGTCCTAGCCTCCTGCGTCACGTCCTCTCCCTAGGTGCAGCACTAACCCCAGACATCCCCTTCCGGTATCTGATCCTACAATCAATGACTAGTAGGCGGGCTGAGGAGGAGGGGCTAGGAAGGTATATAGGGGCGGTAGGGGTTGGAGCTCGTTCTCTCTTGCTCCTGCTCTCTTGCCCTGGCTTTCCTGCTTGGCCTTGCTGTGATGGCCTCTGAATAAAGCTCGAGTGTTTGCACCTCCTGATCGGCTCGTCTCTGTGTTTATCCGGGTGGGCACCGAAGACTGGTAAGTATGACCTTGGCAGCCTGCTCCTTATAGGAGGAGGGTGCACGGCGCGACCAGCACACATATAGCACTTTGTATCTGAGGCTTATCACAACTCATCACAATTCTTCCATATCCAGCTTTGCATCTTGGGAACCATAATCACATCAATGCTACTATTATTCTTGGGGCTGTGAACTTGCATGGGAAAAATTATATCTTTATTTCAATCTAACTAGTTTCCTTTGTAATCTTACGTATTTTATTTTGTGCATTTAAAAGCATTATTCTGAGAAAGGGTCCATAGCAGGGATGGGGAACCTGTGGCCTTTGGATTCAGTCAAAGGGCCGCACTTGAGGACCTAGAGGGCCACATGTGGCCTCCAGGCTGCAGGTTCCCCACCCCTAGTCCATAGACTTCAGATTGCCGATGGGGTCCATGGCACAAAAAAAGGTTAAGAATTCCTTCAGTAGATGCTGTCTCAAGTTCTTTCCAGTATTCATATTTTGTGCCTCTGGAAAGGAGTTGGAGGTTCCATCCTTAAACTTTTACTCTGGTATCTCTGCTTCTCCCTCAGCTGGTGCTGCCAGAATACTCAATTCACAGCCTTTTCTGTATCATGTTCCTGTGTGCCCAGGAGTGGCTGACGCTAGGGCTGAATGTTCCTCTACTCTTCTATCACTTTTGGAGGTAAGACCGCCTTTGATCTGATGCACCGCCCCCTTCATCTTCTTCACCAGCTCTCTGCCAGAGATAGAGATCCTCCAATGCCAGGAGCTGCCTGATAACTTCCTTTCATCCCTTGCCAGCAGCATACTCACCCAAGTCCCCCTCATGATCTTCTCTCTGCTGGCATCCAGGGGGACTCTTCATCTGGGTAGGTTGGTCCTAACTAGAGTCCTGAACCATCGCATGTGATGCAGAAAGAGACCGTAAGAGAGTTAATTACTTGTTATTTATTTTCATCCCAACTTCAAGTCAAGAACTCCCTGAACCTTCTGTAGGGCTGTTCCTCCATCACATTACCTCTTTCTTGTGAAAATGCCTTTGCTTATTTCAAGCCCTCAGTTCTACAGATGAGCCCCGCTTTGAGCAAACTTGATTATACAAATTTGGGTTAAGATGAAAAGATGATGATTTGTAGTTGTTAGGTGGTTATTTTTAATTGTAAAATGATTTACTATACGGCTTTTAAAAATAGTGAGACCTGCTCCATATCCATTTAAAATGTGATTCCCTTTACAAAAACTTGAAGACATATAACTTCCCATGAATGCTGTTCAAAATGAGGAGCACCTGTGTTTACAAAGTGGGCAGGTCAGATAAGGAGTCGTATTTGGGAAGTTTAGAGTTCCATCACAATGGAACAAGATTAATTTCAACCCTAACTTTAACCTCTAACTCCAGTCCTTATCCCTGATGTTAACCCAGTCCCCAACTTGGGATATTATCCTTAATATAACCTTAACTCCTAACCCATAGTCTAATCCTTATTCCTAATATAAACTCTAAACTAAATCCATAACTATAGCCTATAACCTTAATCCATAAGGCTAACCCCACTAAGGACGTCTAGGTGATGCAGTCGATAGAGGGCCCCACCTGGAGTCAGGAAGACCTGAGTTCAAATTCAGCTGCAGATACTAGCTGTGACCCTGGGCAAGTCACTCCTATTTGCCTCAGTTTCCTCATCTATAAAATGAGCTGGAAAAGGAAATGGCAAACCACTCCAGTATCTTTGCCAAGGAAACCCCAAATGAAGTCATGATTATTGGGACATGAGTGAACAACAGCTTCTTTAACTATAACCCTTAACTCCTAATATTAACTCAGTCCATGATCCTCTCTCCCAGTCCAAGGGTAGGGAACCTGCTGCCTCAAGGTCATAGGTGGTCCTCTAGATCCTCAAGTGTGGCCCTTTGACTGAATCCAAGCTTCACAGAATAAATCCCCTTAATAAAAGGATTTATTTTATAAAACTTGAACTCAGTCAAAAGGGCCACCCCCAGGGACCTAGAAGGCCACATGTGACCTCGAGGCTGCAGGTTCCCCACCCCTATCCTAGTCCTAAGCTCTACATTTCACTACAGTTTTTCATTTTAAATTCTAAGTCTGACTTATAACCTAGAAAATTACAGAAACTTAGGTAATAAAAAAAAATAGATCATGTATGTTAGTTTCAGATTCCATGCTGTTAGGAAATTGAGGCCACAGGAGAAAGGTGCTGTTGGAGAGCACCCCGTTCCTCTTTGGATACCCCCATCCTACCAAGACAATGCACTTTTGTTACTCTGGGGGCTCCTGTCTGGGAGGAAAGTGTCTGATACTCTGATTTACATGAAGGTAACTATGTCCGCCATTTCATGAGTCCTTGTATTTTAAAAAGCAATGAGAAGGTACAGAATCTCTAATGGAATTTTAGGTATTAAGGCAACTGGGCAGGGGAGATATTTTTCAACTGGATGGCTAGGCAGGGACTGGTGAGGGAAGTAGAGTAGGGAGCTTTTTATATCTCAGATCTCATCTTCTGTACTTTTGTCTTGAGCTTCCCTATCACTATCACTATAGTATCCCTTTATGGTAGGGCCTTCTTTCTATCCCTTAGTGTTGAAATGTTCCCTGTTGCCACTGCTATAGCTGCTTATGCACTCCTGGCCAGTTCCTGCCCTAGTGTCCACAGATTTCTCTGTCTGTCCCTCTAAGCTGCCCTGGGCTGGAAAAATGATGCACCATGACCTTTCTTGGCTTTCCTGATCAGAATTCAGCCTGGCTGTTTTCTAGGCTGTTGTGGAGTTGGTGTATTGGGTGAATGGAGACAAAAATGCTTCCTTTCACTCCACCATCTTAATTCTGCTCCACATCTCCAGTGAAATCCCCTATGTGGAAGGCCAATCCACTTAGGTTACAGGTTTGCTCACCATGAAGCTGCTGAATTTTGATATTTAGGGGCTGTTATTTGGCAAGTAGAAAGTAACCAGGCAATTCCTCATTGGTGTTTTCTTTCCCTTTAGGTATTTCCATTGCCCTGCGGATAGTTCTGAACTAGCCTATGATCCTCCTGTGGTCATGAATGCAGACACCTTAAGTTACTGTCAAAAGGAGGCCTGGTGTAAGCTGGCATTCTATCTCCTCTCCTTCTTCTACTATCTTTACTGGTGAGTTTCTCTTCTCTCTCCTCTAGCCCTCAGAGTCTATATAGCAAATGGAAGAACCTCTATGTGGAAATCCAGGGTGGCCTGATTGATACTGACTAAGGAAGGCAAGGGTGGTCATAGGATCAAAGGATGTTAGAACTAGAAGGGGGTTTAGAGGTCATATTCTAGCTCCCTCACGGGACATGGGAAGATGTCAGGACTTCAGGGCCACCTTAAAGATCTGGGACTAGCTCGCGAAGTTGAGAATATGTCAGAGAATCCCTTCTGGATTTCATTCAGAAAACTTTCAGCAGAAAGGCAATATGGTACAGTAGGAAGTCCCCACTGAATTCAAATCTTGCTTTTGTCATTTACTAACTGTGTGACCCTGGACAAATCACTTGGCCTCCCTGGGCTTCAGTTTTCTCATCTATAAATTGAAGGAGTTGAGCTAGAAAATCCCTCTGAGGGATTTTTCAGCTCCAGATATAGGGTCACATGCTTCTATATTCCTCTCTCCACTGTGATCTCCCTGAAAGTTCTGAGCTAGATGGGGGAGGGTCCTGGGGCCCATATCAAACTTAGACTTCCCAGAGGTCTCCTAGAATATATATTTGAAAAGGGACTCAAAAACATTCTTCTGTGGTCCTCCAGACTTTAAAAATTGACATGGTTCAGACTATACCCATCCCATACCACTGCCAGCAACCCAGTTGTGGAATGAACTAGAACTCCTGAATCTGTGGCTCTTCTTAGCCTGGGATGGTCCTATGGGTACGCTTAGGGTATGTTATAAGATAACTCTGAGCTAAAATAGAACTTCTAGGGCCCCTGGGATGAACAAACTTTGGAGGGCAACTATTTGACCAGCATGGAGCCATGAATAGCTAAGGCATTAACTCTTTGCTCAGGCATAAGTTGGACTTGGTCTCTGAGGGCCTTTCCAACCTTGTGCTTCTATGATTCTGAGTTTGGCCGTGTGATAGAGGGAATCACCCAGTTTTACTTATTATCTTTGAGTCCTTGATCAAGTCATTTACCCGTATCTTAGAGGGCTGGCTTATCCCAAAGGTTGATTCCAGCTTCAAATATTAAGATTATTTAAAAAATTAGAACCCTATTGTGATACTAGGGCTAGAGGGAGTTGCTGTAGCAGTGGTCCCAGACTGAGGAGAGCTATATTATGTAGTCAACAAGAAAAGACTTAAACCTCGCTCTGGACCATGGACTCTTTGTTGATCAGAAATTTAGTGCTGGCAGGGATCTCAAAGGACATCTTGTCCAATAGTTCCTTTTACTAGAAAACTGAGGCTAATGAAGGTTAAATGACTTGCCCAAGGTCACATAGGTAATAAACATCCAAGGAAGAATTTGAACCCAGGTCCTTTCAGTGGCTTGATTGTTTATGTTTTAATTCTTCTTTACTTTGCCTCATTCTGGCTCTAGGGAAAGACAAAGGGAGAGGAGAAAGATAAAGAGGACTCTGGTCTTCATGTTGGTGCCACTGACATATCTATGTCTGAGCACTGAGACACTGCAGGGAAAGATGACATATGAATTTATAGACAGATAAAAATGTGTCTCTTCGGTTGCTTGTTTGGGGTGATGGGAAGGGATGGTGTTGGCAGTATTGACAACAGCTTGTCACCGAGAGTGTTCTGTAACCAAATGTGTTCTAGACGTTCCTTTTGACTCATTATCCTCCAATCCTTTAGTTCAGAGTAATTTGGGAATGGCATTTTGTTAAATTCATGGTTTCTGTATTTTAAAAAAATATTAAGTTGCAAGGACTCTTCTTCCATCCTCGATAAGAGCTGGAGTTATGGCCAATTAACATTTCATTGAGTCTGGCCTATTGTCTTGTCATCTGTGCTAGATTCTGAACGTAAGTCTCTTGCTTCTTGGGCCAGTATAGTTCCCGTAGAATTGTAATTGGAGGACTGGAAGGGACCTCAGATATCATCTAGTCTTATTTGCAGGTGAGCAAAGTGATGCTCAAGGAGGTTGAATAATATGTCCAAGGTTACACAGGTGTCAGAAGTGGAATTTGAATTCAAGTCTTAGGCCTTCCAGTATAAGGGCTTTGGATTCTTTGCCTGTAGACCCATTGTCTCTCCAGACCCTTTCACTCCAGCAGAGGAAACCTCATTGGTGTCATCCCTGAAGTGGGAAGGGGAATTAGAGAAAAGAGCTGAGAATAAGGGGAGCTGGCCTCTCTACCTAGGCTGTCCAGTGATTGTGTCTTTGGTCACATCCTGTCACTTCTCACAATTGCAACTTCCCTCCCTCCTCCCTTGCCCCTACTTACTTATACTTTGGCAACGAGCTTCTTGAAACAAGAGGTGCCAGGCTGGAAGACAGAGCCGCAGTTAATCAGGACAGTATTACTCATTGTGACTTCAGAGCAGAATGGGTTCGAGAATCATAGGCTTCTTTCTTCTAGACTCTTCAGATGAGCTTGTTAACAGCTACCATTTCCCCCACCCCCACTCTGTGAAGAGATGATTGTTTTCTCCTTCTGCCCAATCAAGAAACAAAATTAATGCACTTTGATACAAGCTGTTCCTCTACCTCGGGGGAATTACCTGAAGAAATTACACAGAACCCAAATGTTCCACCCCCTACTTCCCCTCTTCCATTCTCAGGGACCAGGCCTTAGATCACATGTTCCTAATCCATATTTAACACACAGACCCCAATGGTTAGTGACTCAAAGAGCCCCCAAGAATAGTCCAATTAAATGTCCATTTTGTACAGGTGTCCAGAGGGGCCTATGCTCACCAATCAGCCGTAACAATCGTGGTAATAATCATTATATGGGCAACAGTAGGGTGAGAGTCATCTGAGAGCCCTGGGACCCTGGTGTGGCCCGAGGCAGCTGGCAGACTCCAATACTCCCTCGCATGGCCTGAGCACCAGCTGTGACCCGAATCTTGAGTAACAACAACAACAAAAAGTAACAAACATAGTAACAATGAGAATAACAGGAGGCACTTAGCAATCATCACATCTTTCTTTTTTACCCAAAGGACACAATATACTTTCCTAAGAAACATTTGGTTAAAGATGGGCAAGAGGAGGAGAAGGGAATGGGCCAATAGAGAATGTGCATATTAACTTAACCCAAAGCTAACACTGGTGACTGGAATAATGAGGGCAAGGGAGGGGTTCTCTTTTGAACAAGTCCTTCCTGCCTCCGGCACTGAATGGAATGGTTCCCTTGGCTCCTGCCTGTCACCTATTTCTTTCTAATTGCAGCATGATCTACACTTTAGTGAGTTCTTAACTGAAAGATAACCCGCGTCATCAGAGACTGGCACCGGAAAAAGGACGGAGGCTTGAGGAAAGAAGTCAATTGACACTGGAGATTGGATTGTAAGGACCTGGAGGAGGCGGTGGATTTGGAAGCTGAGGCCCTTGGTAGAGCGTGTGGAGAAGAAAAAGAGAGAGAGACCCAGTAGGCAGAATGACTGGCTTCAGAGCTGAAAGAATGCAGCCCGTGGGCTGAATGAACAGCGATCGGCTCTTGTTACTCTGTGCATGGCAGCCTTTGGCATTCCAAATCCCACTCATGAGCTGTATATCACTCCTGAGGACTGGGAGAGGTGGGGGAGAGATTCAAAGCCAAACCTCTCATGGGGGAGAATTGCCGCTTACCGAGAGTACTCCGTAGAGCAGCTCCTGCAGACGCTTTTCACACTGGGTTCCTGGTAACAGTTCAGATGGACTCTGCGAGTGGAGGCTGGGCTGGCTCTCTGCAAAGGGATTTGAATGCCTGGGTACGGCAGTTCTGAGCCAGGGAGGTGGCCTGTGTGGACGGATGACACCAGAGAAGCCCCTTGCCTCTTCCAAGCCCTCCCAGTGCCCCCTTGGCTAGGGACATGTGTGTGGGGTCTTTCTCTGGGGGGTGTTCGTTTGTGTTTCTTTTTGTCATGTTCCAATTGATTGGTGACAGAATGTTGCTAGGGTTCCATGGATTGCTAAGAATTCTCTCCAAAGCCGGGTAAAAGAATAGCCTCCCCACCCCCATAATTGTTTGATAATGGCAAATAACTGGTTGTTCATACATATGAGAGGAACCTGAGTTGTTAGCTGTTAGCAATGATGTGTCCTGTTATCCTGTAGAAACCAGGAAGTGTCAATCAATGTATTACAGGAAGAGCACTTGAGAAGTCTGGAGATAGGGGATCTGGGTTTGAATTCCAGCTTTACTACTTGTGAAACCCTGAGGGAATCACTTCTCCTTGGGCCTCAGTTTCCTCATCTGCATGGTATAGAGTCCCCACTATTCTTATGCTTAGTGCTATAGGCCATATTCCAGTTTTAATGGGTAAAGTTGTAAATCCCACTTAAGTAGGTCTTAAATTTACTAGAGTCTGAATAGACTGCTGAACTTGGAGTCAGGCAGACCTGGGTTCAAATCTTGCCTCAAACACTTAGTCGCAGTATGGCCTTAGGCAAAATAACCTTACTTAGGTAAGACTTAGTCTCCTCATCCGGGAAAGTAAGGGAGCTGGACTGTTACCTCTGAGGGCCCTTTTAGCTCTAAATCTATGATGCCAGAATCTTATTGATAGGGTTGGAATCTGGGCCCCAGAAAGGAAAAACCCTGGACTTTCCCACATGGCCAAGTTCCCCTGAGGCTATAATCCCATCAACTGGCCTTTCATTGTGGCTACACCCAATCTCCCCTCCATTGTTTTACCTCTCTATGGCCCCTGGCCATTTCCCACCCTTAATCCTAGCTAGGCTCCATTCTCCCTTGGCCACAAGGTTCAGGTCCCAGGAGTTCTGTTCACCCCAGCTTACTAGCCACTCCCATCCAGATCTCCTTAGGCCCTTCCTCTCATCACCCCAAACTACTTGGCCACTCCTAGATCCCTCCCACAATCTTTCTGTATATAAGGTCCATCTTGTCTCCATTAAGATGCTCTGATTCTTAGAATCTAGCCAATAGCCCACAGATGCTCAGATTCCTTAAGAGTCTAGCTAATATGGCAAATCTTCAATAAACCTTGTTTTTGGCTGCAAGAAGGCTTGGGTCGAATTCTTTCGGGCAGGACCCAGGTATTGTGATTTTGGGATTCCAGGACCCCTAACCTCTAGACCACATCATATGGTTCCCTGACTGGGAATCGAACCCAGGCTGCAGCGGTGAAAGCGTGAATCCTAACCAATTATCTAAGACTAGATAACATCTGAGGTTCATTCAACTCTACATCTACCATCTCCAATCTATGATCTTCACTAGAGCCAGACTTGGAACCAGGAAGACCCAAATTCAAGTCCTGCTCTGACAAATTCTGTCCATGTGACCCTAGCCAATTCATTTACCCTCTCAATATTCTAGGCCAGAGGTGTCAAAGCCATTGCCCAAACCAGATTAAAATGTAATTGGGAAATGTTTAACAAAATAAAAATATAATAAACACAGATAACATTACCTTTACATTAAGTTAATGTATGGCCCCCTGGAATCATTATGTATAGATTTGTTTAGTAGTTCTTCTTAGTTGTTTCTGACTCTTCATAACCCCTTTTAAGGTTTTCTTGACAAAGATACTGAAATGATTTGCCATTTCCTTCTCCAGCTCATTTTGCAGATGAAGAAACTGAAGCAAACAGGGTTAAGTGACTTGCCCAGGCCACACAGCTAGTAAGCGTCTTAGGCTGGACTTGAACTCAGGCCTTCTTGACTCCAGGCCCAGCACTCTAGCCACCGTGCTACCTAGCTGCCCCATGTACAGATCAGTGACTCCCATTTTTATTTGAGTTTAATACCCCCGTGCTGGGCAACTCTGTAAGACTGAGTTACATTGGTAGAGGGAGTTTCCTAACCGGGAGCTCTCTATACCCATGAAATCCCATGTTCAGTCCCTATCCATATTTATCATCATTAGTCACACTTTACTCTGATGTGGAGAAAAGCAAACACATTCTATAGAATTTGGTGAGCATCAGATACCTGGAAGAGAAGGACAATATAATTTTCAGCTTAACTTTTGTAACGCTGCTTTGTGCATATTGTACAATTTGATGTAAAGATATTTGACCAGTTAGGAATTTTCCATTGAATATTTTCCCTTTTGTGGGGTGGGAGTTGTGAAAGGGGTCTGTCTGCATGACAAAGGCTGGGGGCTTGTTTAATTGGGCATAAATGATTTCTCTACTGGGTGGCACAATTAGACTATTTATACATGTTGCTGATGCTCGGTTTGAAACCGGTGACTAAGGTTTATGAATGGCATTTGTGTTACCCGCTACGTACTATGTTTAAAAACGCAGTGACGACTTGGGTTTCTCACCTAACTGCCTGTCTCATTTTGCCCTCACCACAGGCCTCTGTGTGATTTGTAAACTGGTAGGTGGGGAAGCCGGTTTAAAAAAAAAAGAGAGAGAAATTGACTGTAGAATAGAAGATATTTTGTTGTGAAATTCTGCAAGAGCCTGGGGGCAGTGAGGTGGGGAGGTCTGAATAGAGTGCTGGGTTTTGAGTCACCAAGATCTCAGTCCAAATCTTCCGTCAGACACTTACCAGGTGGGTGACCCGGAGCCTGTTTCTTCATCTAGTATGTGGCCACCAGAGATGCTTATGTACAAATTTTGTTGTTGTTGTTCAGTCTGTTCAGTTGTGTCCTACTCTTTGTGACCCAATTTTTAGAGTTTTCTTGGCAAAGGTACTGGAGTCGTCTGCCACTTCCTTCTCCAGCTCGTTTTACAAATGAAGAGACTGAGGCAAACAGGGTTAAGTGATTTGCCCAGGGTCACACAGCTAATGAGTATGAGACCAGCTTTGAACTCATGAAGAGGAATCTTCCTGATTCCAAGCCCAGCACTTTATCCACTGCACCACCTAGCTGCCGCATATACAGATTAGTGGCCCCCATTTTTATCTGAGTTTGACACTCCTATGCTAGGCAATTCTCTAAGAGTCTAAGTTAAATTGTTAGAGAGCATTTCCTGACCTGGAAACCTCTTTGAGCCTTAGTATCCTGATCTGTTAAAAACAAAAAAAAGTACCAACTCTACAGGTTTATTGTGAGGATCAAATGAGATAATGTTTGGAAAATGCTTTGCAAACCTTACACATACACTCACACACACACACACATTTTTTTTAAAGAGTGGTTTAATGGATTGAGGGCCAGATTTGTAGTCAGGAAGACAAGTTAAAATCCTGACTCAGATGCTTATTAGCTGTGTGACTGTGAGCAAGTCACTTAACCTTTGCCTCAGTTTCCTCTTCTGTAAAATGGCACCTACCTCCCAGGGTTGTTGTGAGGATCAAATGAGCTTATAATTGTAAAGTGCTTAGCACAGTGCCTGGCACATAGTAAGTACTCTATAAATATTCATTATTATTATTGTTGTTGCTATTTTTGTTTTTTGTTATTCCAGCTATGTAACCCTGAGCAATCTGCTTAACCTTGAGCCTGCTTCCTCATCTGTAAAATGGAAGAGTTGGGACTTTGAGTTCCTTTCTTGATCTAAATCTATAATCTTATGACATAAAGATTTTTACACTGAGGCAAGATGGCAAGCCAATGTCAATAAAAGACCTTTTGGAAAAGCTACGTTCACTCTGTTGGACAGGAGGAGGAGACCACTGAGTCCTTTGACCTACGCAGCTTATGGTCAGGACTAGTTAACCCAGTGCTCATGAGCCTAAGCCTCGGGTGCCATCTCTGTGTGGTCAAGTTACCTTTCCCCAGAGAAACAAGTACTTTTGATCCAAGGTCACAAACTATGTACTCCTCACCCCAATATCAGCATATGCAACAGGGACCCAGAGAAGAGAGTGGCTTTGGGTAACTTTTCACCCCCTGACTAGAAAATCAGATCTGAGTTTCCATCCAATTAATGGAACATCAGGAACAATAACTCTACATGTGTTGCTTTTAAAAATACACTTCAGAGTAAAACAACAAATGCTTGGGGGTGAGGGGTTGGGTGGGAGCTGCTGTTTTTTTTTTCTTCTTTAATGAGTAAAGCTAGAAATGCCATTTAAGTAAGTCTTCAACTTACAAAAGGGCAATCAGACTTCTGGCCAACTCCCACTGTCTTTTATTCTTTGCCACGGCTACTCCCATACCATGTCCTCTGTGTCCTCTTTCTGCTCCCTCCCTTTACCTCCTCCCACTTCTCCAAGTGGGCTAATGGATAAAACCCAGAAATGAGCCTGGAAGTAAGGATGATGGCTCAAGGTTAAATACCAAGTGGAAATACCTTATTATGTAACCAGCCAATCTCCAATCAGTCTTGGCAGTGAGGGAGAGTGAGAATGTAGAGCATAACATTAGATTTTGACTCAGAAGACCTGAGCTCAAGTCCTGGCTTTGTTACTTACCATCGTGTGAATTTGACCAGTCATTTAATTTTTCTGGGCCTCAGTTTCCTCTTCTGTAAAATGAAAGGTTTGACTGTATTCATAAAATCATTGATTTCAAGATGGAAGGAACCTATGAGATCATCTAGCCCCAAATGCATCATTTTCGAGTCAAAACTTCTCCCCAAACTAAACATTCCCAGTTCCTTCAACCAGTTTTCATATGGTATGATCTTGAGGTCCATCATCACCTTGGTAACCTTTCTTTGAAGCTCTCCA